CCAAACACTCATCCAACCATGCATCCAACAGTCATACAACCATATATACAACATTCATCCAACCAACAGTCATCCAACCAAACATACAACATTTGTCCAACCATACATACAACAGTCATTCAACAGTCATCCAACCATACATCCAACATACATCCAACCATACATACAACAGTCATCCAACCATACATACAACAGTCATCCAACCATACATCCAACAATCATTCAACATTCATCCAACCATACATACAACAGTCATCCAACCATACATACAACAGTCATCCAACCATACATACAACAGTCATTCAACAGTCATCCAACCATACATTAAACAGTCATCCAACCATACATACAACAATCATTCAACATTCAACTATACATACAACATTCATCCATCCATGCATCCAACCATACATCCAACAGTCATTCAACCATACATCCAACAATCACTCAACAGTCATCCAACCAAACATACAACATTCATCCAACCATACATTCAACAGTCATCCAACCATACATACAACAGTCATTCAACAGTCATCCAACCATACATAAAACAGTCATTCAACAGTCATCCAATCATACATCCAACAATCATTCAACATCCAACAATCATTCAACATTCAACCATACATACAACATTCATCCAACCATATGTCCAACAGTCATCCAACCATACATACAACATTCATCCAACCATACAGCCGTCATCCAACCATACATCAAACAGTCATCCAACCACACATCCAACAATCATCCAACAGTCATCCAACCATACTTTCAACAATCATCCAACAGTCATCCAACCAACCTTGAATCTATACACAAAAAATGTGACAATATGAGACACTGAGACAATAAGTCCCTGTGGGACTCTGAGACAATATGAGACAATGGGAAACTGTTGGACAATATAAGGTATTGTGAGACAGTGTGAGACAATATGTGATACCGTGATACAATTACATGTGGGACAATATGAGACCCTGTGGGACAGTTCTAACAGTTCATGTGGGACTGGCTGTAATCTGAGCTCCTGTCCAGCTGAACTCATCTGTTTTCTACAAGTGAGTCGTCACTCGATCCTGGAATGAAACTCTGGTTTATCAGTTCACGGGAAAATGAAACTGAGTTTGTGTAGAACAACAAAGTCCACGCTCAATAATCCAGGTACACAGTCCAACATTTTTCAGTCAGGTCATCTGGACTGTTTCTTTTTTTGTGCTGAAATGTTTCGCCTTCGATCCAGAAGGCTTCATGAGTCAAGGTTCGTGTAGATTTTATGGATCTGTTTCCCAAGAATCTTGATAGTCCTGGTTCTGGGAGGCCCAGTGCTTCACTTATCTCGCTCAAGCCCCTTCCTGTTATTGAACAAAAGGACAAAAATATCTACACCGGGATGGAAAATCTAGAAGAGCATGGAAGATTGTGGAATTAAGAAGAGCTTGCACAATTGTTAGAAAGTTTAGACTCTAACCTGAACATTCTGAGGTAAAACCTGTAAAAATCCTCCAACTGGACAGAAAGTGTTAAAACAGCAGTTCAGCCATGGAAAGTGACCCGTTAAACTCCGACTGATGGTTCTGCGGTGAAGTCTGAGCTGGAGATCCAAGCGTGGGTAAACACCATGGATGTCTATAGGAGCCTTTGGAACAGCTTTTAGTGAATCTTCCCTGATTCCTACTCACTGAGGGGTTACCGTATTTTATACTTTTTAGTTGCAGAGGGAAAAACGTAAAAAAAATATTATGATATAAATGTAAAACTATTCAATAAAAGTGCTTTGTCTGCCCCTGACCTGTTTTAGACCTTAACAGTTGCTATTTTTATATTCTCTGTTATTTTTACATCTTGTGTGATTCCTTGTGTTTGTTCCTTTGTACTGAAACTCTGGCACAACGTTTTCCTGCAGGATCAATAAAGTTCTATCTTATCTTAGATGAACTGGACCTTTAATTAAATGTGACTGTGTGAACATTTGGTCCTGAGCTGATGATCAAACTGATATTTGACGAGGTGGAACCATCATCTTCAGGTGGTCGTGGCTCAGGGCTTACTTTGTAAACCGGTCGATGCCTGAACACAAATAGTGGGCGGGCCGGTCATGGTGGTGGGTGGGGGTTTCTGGGGGGTCCTCCCCCAGGAAATGTTGAATAAAGTAGATGTGATTTCCTGCATTGATGTATTTTAACGGGTTGCTACACATCCTATGTTTACCTACATTTGTAAACACTCCGCTTCTGTCAAGCACCCCCCCCCCTTACTTTATGTAACCGTCAAGTAAAGGCCGCCACATACTTGGGCGTACTTAACTCCGCAGAGGTCTGCACGTACCCGAGGTGGACTCACCGTGGACTCATAGCAGACGTCCACAAGCCATGTCCGCGCAAAGATCAGTTGTTACGACCGTGTTCTTGGTGTCGCACAATAAACTGTCCGACTGTTTAGTAAGTGACACCGATGTATGAAATTCCCCTTCTTCATCCCTGATCTCGTTTAATGGCCTCTGCTTTTGGTTTTGTCAAGAAGCACGCAATCTCTTCTTCCTCCTCCATTGATGCCATGACTAAAATTGTGAGTAATGTTGGAATTTGTCACGAGAGAATTAAAATCAGGCCCGCCGTGGCTGCGGGAAGGTCTGGGGATTTCTTGGTGGGCCGGTCTGATGTGTGGGCTGCAGGGTCAGCGCTCCCTGTTTTTTTAATATTTCTTTTTAGAATTTTTTTTTTATTAACAACATATAAACACAGAACACCACTGCCGCTGCTCCTGGGTCGCCAGCAGCTCTAGGTTTTTTTTTTTTTTTTTTGCGACCTGTCAATCAATCCAGTAGGCGTGTCAGCAAATGACCAGTTAGCGACCTCTATTTGTCCCGAAGGTAAATGCCCCTTGCCTGTGGAGCTGATTGCAACACATCAGGGTGTACGCTCGAGTATGAAGTCTCAACCGTCTGCGGCTCATGGAGTACACACAGTACGCCCGAGTATGAGGGAGCCTTTCCGAGCCCGACTCTGTCCCTGCTCGTTGTCCGACTCCACATGTGAACCTCCAGGCGCCTGCGGCTGCCTGCGGGCTCCTGCCCGAGTACGACTGCCTGGTTAGCTCGGCACTCACCTCCACCACTCGTTTAGGGGCGGAGACACGGAAATGCTTACTTGAAGAGGCAGCTCGTATTAAGAAGCTCGTACCGTGGCTCTTGTGTTTAAAATGAGTGTTTATGTAGTTATTTTACAAACCACACCACCAGATCATGATACATTAAGTTACATTGATTAAATGCAAGTTTTCATTAACCTGTTTAAAAGTTGTTTTCTTTTTATTTAAGAATTTTGAGGGCCAAATGACGATTGTGCTTTTGGCCCTCGGGTCATATGTTGCTTGTCTGCTCTAGAGGTTTTTTCCTCTGTTACTATAACAGAACTGAAATTTAGACCCAGTTCTGCAAAAAACTGCTCAGGTCCCACAGTTGGTTTTATTTTTTTCCTCTGGTGTTTGTGGTGTGAGATGCAGAATTCAGATGTGAACAAAGCTCCAGAAACAGGAAGTGATTTTTATATATATTTTAAATTTATTAACAAAAACAGAAAACTTAAAGAAGCAGGAAGCTGAAAACCAACAAGAAAACCTGCGAAGGAACGTTGTCAGAGTAAAACTAGAAGAATGATCAGACCAAGAACAATTAAAGTGCATGAACAATGATAAATTAAAAGTTCTAAAATGTGAAATAAAATGCCTCACAATAAATAAATACCACTAAATTTAAAGATAAAAACTAGCACAAATACTCACACAGTATACTTTCTGTTTATTCTTCACTGCTTTTAACTGCTTCAATGAAGTTTTGTTGTTTTTTAATCTGTTAGTCGCAGTGGTGTAGTCTACATTTTTGCAGTGGGTATATTGTACTTAGAAACCAAAGTACACCTGTTAGTACAATGTTAATTTATTTTGATTTTTTTTTAAGCGTATTGAACATTTCAAAATTTCTATGACGCTTATATTTGAATAAATGTACAACAAACTTTGTACAACAGTTGGCTTTGTATGAAAAATGTTATAAAATTTATAAAACAGCATCAAAGCAAAACATGTTCAAGTATTAAATAGTACAGAAGTATTAATTATACAAGAAACAGCTTGAACCAACTCAATGTGTCTATAAAATGTTCCAGATGTGTTCCAGGTGTGTGACAATGGCATGGGCTCGTGGAGGCTCGTGTCATTGGCCACTTTTAAGTGGGTATACTGAAATTCCCAAGTTTTTCTAGTGGGTATACTTCATATACTCGCGTATCACATACACTACACCACTGGTTAGTGGTGTTACTGAGGCTGAGGGCCGAAGACGTACGATGGAGGCAAAGTCCAGACAGAAAGAGAGCGTGATCATCAGAACCAAGGAACTAGAACCAGAACAAAGTTCATAAAAGTAGAACAAAGGCAAACCTGTCACAGTCAAGAGGGTCGAGTAAACGCAGGTTTTTATGGCAGAGAAAGTCGTAAACCGACTTAACTAGAACAAAACAGAGTGAGCAGCTGTGAGAGCAGGAAAACCCAGAAAGATAAAAGTTGTGGCTTCAACAAGGCAGCACACAAAGATCTGACAAAAACCACACAAACATTTTCCTAAGAAACTAAAGCAAGTGGGAAACTGCAGGAGGAACCAGATGTGAAAGAAGAGCGGCACTGAAGCAAACCGAAGCAGAAACGCAATAAAACCAATCAAAGAAACGGGGAATCTGAAAAACTAACTCAGAACTGGAAAAGACTACAAAACTGATCAAACTGGAATGATTTCAACAACATATTTCTGCAGAAATGCTGAAGTGTGAAACTCCAACATCGATCAGTTTTCTTCTCTAAAACTCAACAGACTTCTTGAGCTGTAACACGTTTCATTTTAAACCACCTACATTCCACCTCTTGGTGTTAGTCAGAACTCAAGCCCTAATATTTAATTTACATGTGCTACTTTTTTGTGTTTTGGAGCCAGAGGCAGTCTGCTCTGTAAGCTCCACCCACTCATATAAATAAGCCACGCCCACTCAGACATGTAAGGCCCACCCACTTAATCATCAAAAAACTAACAGACGTTTTTTTGGATACCAAAGAGCATGTGTAATGTTAAATACGTCATGTTAGAATACAAAGTAATTTGGAAGAAAAACAACAATTGATAAAAGTGAAACATTTCAAAGATAGAACATCTCAAAACCTTTTTTTTTTTTTTTTTTTTTTTTGCTGAAAAGGGAGGTCATAGTCAGTGATAGTAACAAATATACACAAACGCCAAATAAAAGTTGATTCGATATCGAAGGATCGGATGTAGGCATAAAAATATCTAGACCACAAAGCATCGCAAAATACTGACTTTGAGCATTTGTGTCTGTAAAAAGGTCCTTTACAGCTAAACACATGAGCAAAAAATGTATTGGAACAAACATCAGCTATGTAAGAAATATGAGGATCAACAAGTTAACACGTGGAAAAATATGTAGTTTTTTTAAATATGTTAATTTTTTTAATAAAACAAACATCCCATTGGTTTACAAGATGAAAACATTTACAGCAGCCAGCCTACAGGGGGTGCTATTTCACATTATCGTCCTGTATTTATTAATTTCATTTGAGCAAAAAGTGAATTTATTTTCAGCCAAATTGATCACAAATCTACATTTAAAGTCTTTTTAATCACATTTTCATATAAAAACATTTAATGCAACAGGTCTGTTGATAAAAAAGAGCAGTAAGAATTATCACTAGGAAGCATTTCAATCACCCGACAAATACATTATTTTATCAACTGAAGTTATTGAAGCTCCATGATTTGGTAGATTATAGTATTTTATCAGTTATGTACAGGGCTCATAATAATAATTTATGTTAAAAGAGAAAGTTGTTATAATCTTAAGGGGAGGGAGATATTTGTGAAACCGAAATTCAGAACCAGTTTGAAGGGACGTCTACCTCAATCCAGGGAATTGGATTGTGGAACGGTCTGGAGAGTGATGTTAAAAATGCCAGATCAATGTGTACATTTAAGAAAATTATCAAAGTTGAATTGTTAAAAAAAAAAAAAAAAGTAGCTTATTGTATTGTAACGTATTGTATGAATTGTCGTTCAAGGTTTCGTTTTGTTACTTGAAGATTATTATTGTTTGACTTAATTATTTCAAAGCCAAAAGTTTGTTCCTCTTCATGTAAATTAATGTTTACAGTGAAAACATAAAACTGACACGTTAAAATGTTTTCTTTGTAGACAGTTCCTTTCACTGGAGCCATCCATGGTGGTCTGCAGGAGGGGAAGTCCATCCTCATCAGCGGACGGGTTCTGCCTGGAGCCGACAGGTCCACAACTTCTAATATAACCTGAAATGTTTCTTACTGAGATGGTGTAACTGGTGTCAGCTGCTGTTTTTCATTACTGTTTTTTTTCATTAATTATTTAGACGTAACAATTACATGGAACAAATTAATTGAAAAGTATCTATAAACTAAACTTTGAGATAAAATGTACATATTTACCTGAAAATTCACCCACACCTCGACGTTGTCGGTCCAGGGAGTTGAACCGGTGACCTTCCGATCACAGGCTCACATTTTCTAACCTCTGTGCCACCACTCCCCACAGATAACGGTAAAGTTAAATACTTCAAAACATAAGAAATAAGACACAATTTAGTGGTTTACTACTTGTTCTTTTTATTTGCTCTTCCACTTATTTCATCTTGTCACTCAAAAAACTGCCTCTAAATATTTAACTAGTTTCCTCCGCTGATGAAACGCCAGATATCCTATATTTACCAAAAAAACTATATTTATTTGGAGCTCCAAGCTCATAGAACAGAAGAAATGCACATTTAAGCAGATGATCTCTCGCTCAGCATGTCTTTAAGACACAACCACAACTAACAGGAACAAGCTTGTGAATTTAGCTAGCAGACTTCAAGTTGGCAAATCCTACTGGTAATTTAGCAGAAGCTAATTCCGCTAACAGTTTCCAAAGTTAGCAAAGACACTAATTGAACAAAAACAAAAAATTAGTTCCACTATTAGGTCAGTTCATCACTTGCTCTTGCCGAGATCGGATGCTTTTCCCCTCCTTCACCGCTTTGCTTTGCTGCTCTGTCTGTCTGTGAAACTGCTTGTGAGACTCTCTTGCATTTCTTCCGAACCATAATTATGTACTTGTTTTGATCAGTTGGTCCCTTAACACAATTGCTAACATTTCTTCCAAGAGAAGACAGCTGATTTGCCCTGTTGGCACGCACGCGCTGGATACCTCATCGACATGAAGACTTGATGATGTGTCTATCTCTGCTGCCATTTGTGGATTTTAAGGACGCATATTTAACTAGATTTACGATAACTGGTTCCTGCTTTTTGGATTCGGCTGGTTACTGGTTTTATCAATAATCAAGGAAGTCGTCAGCAGCAAATTTGGACCCGATCATGCTGCTTGCCTTTATGATGGCTTGGTTCGTGCCTTGAGTATCCAGACTCAAATGCTTTGGGCAGAATGGATCAGATCTCGGCAAGGGCGTCAGAAGAATCCGTAATGTGGGGGGGACACAATGATGTGTGTAGGTGTGTGTGCGCACGCGTGTGCGCATGCATGTGTGCACGCGTAAAAAAAAGGTGTTCACTAGTGTACAAAAAAAGCAACATTTCACCTAGATTTCCTTTAATTCCACACATTTAAAACATGTTTCTCACCAAGTTTGTGTAAATTCGGCGGTGGGTTTTAAAGACATTTTAGCTTTAATACACTTTAATACAGAGCGTCAGGTCGGCACTGTTAGTGTTTATAGAGAAATAAAAAAACCACCACTAGACATTTTTACTTGTGTTCAACACTGCTCATCTAAATGATGTTTCTCATGAAGCTTGAGGACAATAAGGTGTGGGGTTTTAAAGACATTTCAACTTTAATGCACCTGAACACACAGCGTCTCTTCCACCTGCAGCGTCTTACAGCGTCACAGTTACCGCTAAGCTAAGATGCTACAGACGTAGCGCTCCACTTCTCTCCTCCTAACATGTATATATGTTTATGATCAA